CAAATCATATTTCTCGTGTTGAGCAAGAGTGATGGTTGTTATTTTTAGTTGTCAGGATTTATCGATTATTTAGTATATTTATTTATTTATTAAATTAATTAGTAGGAAGTAATTCAGGTTGAACTACTGCACAATTTTTTGTTTGGTTAGAATTGATTGAAAGCATGCTTATTTTTGGGACTGATTGTGTTGGATTAAAAATACCATAGGTTACTTGCTACACTATACGAATCAGAATATTGTTGTGGATGCATAATATGATATTGTGTTGTGATATCAGAATCAGAATATTTGTGCTTTAGAATATTTGTGCTTCAGAATATTTGTTATTGAATATTGTCATTCGGATCAAATCAGAATTCAATTATATGATATTCGAGTATGTGTTACTCGGATCAAATCAGAATTCAATTATATGATATTCGAGTATGTGTTACTCGGATCGGATCAGATATCGAATATTTGCTCTGTCTGTTTAGCATGTCGGGATAAATTTTGATAGGGAAAGTTCAGTGCATTCACTCGAAGGGTTAATGTCACTTTTTTAATTTTAGTGGTCGTTGCCTTTGTGGCAGACCCCACTTATATAGTGTGTGAGTTGGAATTAGTGTGGTTATGAGAACCCACTTTGTAATACCTCAAATATCGAGTTGATGACCATATGAAAAGGATTTAAAATTTGGAGGATTGAATAAATGATAAAGTATAAGAAATGATTTAATTAAGACCAAATACGAGAGGAAGAGTCAAGGCGGCGGTTAGGTTTGTAAAAATAATAAAGAATGGGGAAAGCAGAAGACTTCACACGGTTTAACAGAGGAGGAGTTTGAATCCTTGTAAAATAGAAAAAAAAGGTAACTACGGGGTTGGCCGTTGCGCTTTCTAGGTTTCATGAAAATGGATCTAAACTTCCAATATTTACAATTTAGTCACTATTTTTTGAATTAGAAATTAGGTCAAAATTTTCTAAATTTTAGGGTTTTAATTTGAGGAATTTTCGATGTGTTACAAATTATGTGTTTATAGAGCATGTTGGTACAAACTCATAACTGTGCACTTACTAGAGAATTGTCACACAAGGTCTTTTATGAGCACACTACTCATGTAGGTGTAATATCATTTAAGGATATTCAATTTTAGTAGTAGTCTGTATTTTTAATGCTCAATTGTTATAGACATAATTTTAGTTACTTCAGTGTAAGGATATTTATGTTAAAGTTATTTTCTGCAGAAATAAAGTTTATTTTGGTTTATCTACACTCAGGTTTTGGTAAAGTTTGATATCACTTATGTTTAAAAAGGACCAGTTGGAAATAGACATGTGTATTCATATTGCATGTAATTTTCATTCTACACTTAATGATTGATCTATGCCATTTGACTATGTTTGTATACGTGACCATTGATAGGTCTAGTCGTGATTGATATGGTAAAGATCGCTTTGATCCTACAAGGATATAGTTTATTAATGAGATTGTTATAGAATATCTTTTGCATTATAACAAATTTTGAGTTCATAAGGTTGTACATTTATCAGGAAACATGTTGTCCAATTGGGAGATTGTTGGATTAAAAACCATTATTATAGGTACATATTTATAATGTATATTGTTATAATAAAATATGACATAAATTAAGTGATCAATTATGTTATAAAGTCATAAGGTACTTGAAGTGTTATGGAAATAAAAGTGTAGATATTATTAAAGTTGTATTTATAATTCAATGAGAAACAATCATAAGTACATACAATATTTGATTCTTAAATCAGCTATATAAAAGGGTTATGATCCCAAGAAATATATTATCTCATATTTTCTCTTATCCCGATCAGAGAGTTTATATCAAGAAAATTATATCTTCTTAAAAGATCACTACCAAAGAAAGATCCAATGACTTCAACCTATCAATTAATTCAGATACACTTCTGCATCAATTTATTTTATTTTGATGATTTGACATGATTAGATCCTAGTTTGGTTTCATATTTATTATGATTTGGTTCTAACATGTATAAAACACTTAAGAGAGTTAGACTCGTGACCTACCAGTTAACTCCTAAAGAGTAAATTTTTTCAAGGGAAGAAAACTAGATAGGTATTGTTTATATCAATTTATGAATAACACCGTGGCATTCATCTTTATTATAATAAGTATTATCTTTCCTAACGAAGGTGAAGTTTATGGTAATTTACCTTCTAAAGTGTAGGTGGTGAAAAAAATAAGGGAGAGAAAACCAAAGGGAAGCCTACATGGTGATGCTTTAGAAGCCTCACCTTGACGAAAGGAACTTAGAATCGGTAGGTTCTCCAGGGATATATAGTTTTAAATAACTATCGATATTAGATCTATTAATTGATTGATTTAAATAAATATTACAAAGAGGAGGACACTTTTTTAAATCCAATTTACTTCATTTACAAAACTTTAAAATCTTTAATAAACGATGTATAACATTTTATTAATTCTTTATTGCTGATACGTTAAGCTTAGAAAAATGGAAGAGATTAGTTAAAAACGAAATTTTAGATTTTGTTATATTTAGGATTAAATATAAAATAAATGTACAAACTATAATGTCTTTTACGAATAGGTGTCGAAAGTATTTTTTTTCGACTCATCATGATGTCTAATGTTACAAATGTTATCATTTTAGGTGTTCGGGCCATCAACGACGTTAATTTCTTCCGTTAAGTGAGACATATCACAGTCTGACAATTTTGAAATTTATTTTTTAATATTATTATATTTATAAAAAACACTAATTTCCCTTAAATTATAAAAAAAACCCAAAATCCCTAAAATCCCCAAATCCTAACCTTAACCCACCGTTGCCACCCTTTCCGACCACGACCACCGCCACCGGTATAGTCCTTTTCATCCTCCTAGTTATACGTTGTCGTAGTTGGTGTCGATTGGTCGTCAAATTCGTGTGGGATCATGATTTTCATCCTAGGGTTTATGGGGTATAGAACGTCGGTTCATCGTCGATAGGTTACGATTTCATATGGTTTTGGTCGCCAGGGGAGGTGAGATCTGGTGAAGCTTCTTCAACGGTAAAAGATCAACGGTCGACCTGAATTTAGGGGTTAAAATGAAAGTTTTCAAAGTTTTGAGATTATTTCAATATATATATATTTATATATATATATAATTTTAATTTTTTTAATTTTAAATAAAAATTTTAAAATTATCAAATTGTGACACTTATCACTTAATGAAGGAAATTAACATCGTTAATGATCTGAACACCTAAATGATAAAGTTTATAACTTTAGACAATAAAATGAGTCAAAGAATGCTTTAGACACCTATTAGTGAAAAGTGATATAATTTAATCTCTTATTTTATATTTAAGCTTTATATTTATTTATAATTTATAATGGAACTGGCTGAAAATTGGTGAACCAAAAACAGTGGCCGAGCAGATGAGGGGTTAAAGGGGTCATGCCCCTCAAAATTTTAAAAATTATGATTTAGACCCTTAAACAAAATTTAAAAGATTATGCTTTAGACCTTTACATTTTTCAAAAATTTAAATATGACCTCCCAAAATTTTTAGAAATTTATATTATATTTAATATTTTTGGATGTTTTAATTAAACATCCTTCTATATTATTTAAAAATTATCATTAAATCTTTTAAAATTTTAGTTAGTCCCTAATTTTTTTGAAAAAAAAGTAAATTAAACTCTCAAAATTTTTAAAATTTTAATTAAATCTTCAAATATTTTAAAGTTTTAAGTTAACCTTCCCAAATTTTTATCACAAAATCCGGAAGAAAAAAAACCAAAGGTTTGATCAGGTCAATCTTCAGCCTGGTTTTAACAACAATGATGCCCTTGTCTCTGAGCAACTTCAATGGTTTTTCTCAAATTTAAAACTAGATTTATAGAATACATGAACGAGGACAACTAACTATATTATTATCTTAATAATTTAGGCGATAAATAAATATATGCATTCTACACAGTTACAAGCCACGTTATCATCGTAGTGACGTACGAGAAGAAAGCATAAGCCGCCACCTCTTATTCGCGCGGTTCCATTCCCCAAAACAAAATTGTTGTAAACTTTTTAAATTATCCATTTTTCCTAATACGTAGATCAAAGCTCAACCTCTGTTTCTCATTTCTTCTCCTGCCTCAAAGGAAACATTTTGTTTCATTGTGTGTTGTAAGTAATGTTTTTTTTTTTTTTTAGTTTTTTCTTTTCTTCTAATTTGGTGTATGGGAATCAGTGGCAGTAGCATTGAAACTTGAAAGGTTAAATTTTGGGTTTTTCTTTTCACTTTGTGGAATATCTAGTAGAGTTTTTTTGTTTAGTTTGTTTATTTCTATTAATTCTTTATAATTCTTAACGATACAGATTATTTATACAATTGGATTTGCATTCTGCGATGTTATGTTGCTGTTGGTACTATAAAAAATCCTGAGTTTTTACAATTATTTTGGGTTTCATTAATTAAAGGCTTACTGGTCTCAAATACCCTTTTCTGTTCATATTGTAATTAGCCAGTGCTTAGTTTTATCATGTATTTGGGGCATTGGAGGACCATATTCTTATTTCATGCTCGAAGATACTTTAAGAAATGAATGATGGGAATAACAGTATTAAATACAAAACTTTATAATGGGGTTATTTGCTTTTAGCAGGATGGAGCTGTTGACTACTTCAGATACAAAAAGCTCTAGTTATTGGTTGACTTGGAGGGTTTTGGTATGTTCAGTCATTGTTTTTACACCAATTGTTATATCATTGATCATAATTTTCAAATACGAAGGATTGAAACAAGTTAAACGTGATGGAAAAGAAAGCCATGAAGATTTAAGTTGTGATGAGTTGTATGATGATGATGTTTGGAAGCCTTGTCTTCAAGAAATCCATCCTTCTTGGCTTTTGGGTTTTCGGGTCATTGCATTTTGTTTAGCTCTTACAACGATTGTTTCAAAATCCATCGCTAGTGGAGCTCACGTCTTTTACTATTATACTCAGTAAGTGATCTCTCTTCATTGAACTTCCCTTGTATCAAGTTACTAGTAATTCTTATTTAAAGTACTTACATCTTTATATAGGAATCATGATACTTTTAACTCTTCTATATAGAATGAGCTTAAATCCAATGTACTGTTCACAGTTCACTCATATCATCCGATCTTCTGAAACTGAAATTATAAGGTGTTTTGCCTTATATTTTAAGCGTTTTAGCTAACTCAGAAGGATGTATTCTGAAACATTCTAAGTTATGATCTCTTTTGGTGCTGGACAGGTGGACTTTTACTTTGGTTGCCATTTACTTTGGGGTATGTCTTATAATTTTCTACTTACTAGTCTTTGTTGCAATATTTATATCTCCACGATAAAATTGTTGCATTGTATCCATATGCTAGTTTGCAGTTTGTACAATTTCCCCCTGTTCTTGCAGTTCGGAATGTTGCTCTCTATTTATGGGTGTTACCGGCATTATAAGATGAGTAGCTGTGGCTTTAACGTACAGCATCTTGGAATAGATGCTGAGCAAGGATACTATACACCTTTAACTAACAGAAAAGATAAAAATGTACTGAGAAAAGCCTTAAATCCGCAGGAAAAATGCAATCTTTCACAAGCTGCAGGAATTAGTAGCTATCTCTTTCAGGTTATATTCCAGGTAAATTCTCTTTTGCCATTCAAGTCAACAATGAATGGCCATGACCATCCGGTAATACAAAAGTAGAACTTCGATCCTCATCTTTGGCTCCATGCCAGGCATTTCATTATATCCCTATTACTTGCTATATATATGTATATGCCTGCATTCTTGAAGGTAACTAAGGGAATGCAGACCACTCTTTCGAAGATTAAAGTATAAACATTTTTTGTCACCATTTACTAACCGTGCTCAAGGTTCATTAACTGCATGGTCTCTCAAAGGTCAAGCATAAAACATATGCTGTCACCATATTCTTAATTGCATGGTCTCTCAAAGGTCAAGCATAAAACATATGCTGTCACCATATTCCTATAGTGCTCGAGGTTCCTCGTCTATATGGTGAGATGAATTTCATTTTCATGCTTTTTCAGCATTAGATATATGGAGGGATATGGAACTCCTTTAATCATGGGAATGTATTGGTGCCCTAGTCTGAGGTAAGGTGGATTAGAATGTATAGATTGATTATGGGAAGTTTTTGTGATATAGGATTTATATGCTTTTATCTGGTACTATATTAGATGAATCTCTTCTGTAATCTAAGATATGATTGCATATATGACCAAATTCGAACACTGGAATTTATCTGAAGATTGATTCCTTTAGCAAAAAAAAAAAAGAAGTCAACAATGCAAGATTATTCTAAACATTCTGGTGAAAAAAATAGTACTAGTATATTTACTCAAATCATATTTGGTAGTTCTGCAAGACCTTTGAGATTTTCATGCAGCTTTTACGGTATTCCTTGAACCTTTTATGCTAGATATCATTTTGATTTGTCATATTCAGACGAATGCTGGAGCTGTTATGCTTACTGACCTCATATATTGGTGCCTTATTTTCCCATTTCTTACCATTGAAGATTATACATTGAATTTCGTGAGTTCTCTATCCCTTTGTTCATCGGTTAATGTTTTAGTGATCCTGCCTGTCTGAAAACGATTGGTATAATAGGAATTCAATCACATCCAAATGATAGAAATAATCGACACACCATGTGGTTCAAGTTCATAGAATCATACTATGCTACACTGACTCTTCATTTTTCTTATCTGAATGTGCGTATCAATATAATATATGTATATATATGCTTGTGTTAAAAAAACATGGGTATCCATATATGATCCTCCAAACACCCTCTAAATACATGAAAATCATAGAAAAAGTTGAGCATACCAGTGTCTGCCACTTATACCCAAGCCTGAGTAACATAAGTTTAGAGGATGATTTCATAGTCTACTTCCTATCAGCAGTTGAAGTCCATTCGTTCTGTGTTTCTAATAATACGTTCTATCTAAACTGTTGATTGATTCAACTTGGCTTGTTTTCGATATATTTCAATTTCTTATTCCATTTTAGTTTATCTTTTTGGCTTTGGTAAGACGGAACCTTAACCTTCATCTCTATATTTCAGATGACTGTGAAATTGCATACACTCAATGTTATCCTACTTCTCGGTGACACAGCCCTGAATAGCTTGGTAAATATATATTGTTTATGTCATCTTGTTTTATGGATACCACTTCTCTTTTCATCATAATAACCTTGAGTTGTAAATATCTGTCAACTACCTTTCAGTGGTTCCCTTGGTTTCGAATTTCTTACTTCGTATTATGGACAGGTGCTTTTGTTATTTTCCACTGGATCCTTCATGCTTGTGTCTCGATATGGTAATATTGGTTTTTGATATCGTTCAAAATAATGCACAAAACATCCTTATTCATGAACTGGGGTAATTCTCTGTTACGGGTGGCCATATCCATTTCTTGATTTGTCATCACCGAATGCTCCATTATGGTACTTCTCCTTCTGTTGAGAGTTATCTTTCCAAATGAGCTTTTAAATCCCTCATATGTGTCAAGTAGCATTAGTCCATTGGGATATGCTAACTGATTGTTGATTTATTGTTTTAGGTACAAATTGTTTTAAAAAAATGTATGATGCAGGCATCTGATTTTGTTAAGATTTTTGCCGCCTTTTTATGGCAGGTATGGTTTGCTGGCAATCATGCATATACCGTGCTACGGCATTTTTGCTTTGATCGTAAAGACGAAGCATTATCTGTTGTCGAAATGGTTTCCCCAGTCGTACCTGCATTTAAGTTGAACAATGTCAAACACCGATGGACTCTGCCGAAGTTGCGCAGCAGATTCAAGCAATTGGGTAGGCACATGTTTTTCCATCAAATTTTACATTGATGTTATAAAGAGAATGCAAGGCACTAGTAACGAAGAATAGTCGGTCTTCCACAAGGCAGGATCAAGCATTGAATGAACAAGGCTAAATGTGTACATACATACACGGACCTTCATGGTTAAAATTCTTGTTCTTGTTTCTCTAGCGTTTAGTTTAATAATATGAAAGTGTATATTTAATTAAAGATCAACATATGTTACCGACTGATGTTGTGTTCTAAGTCAATTGACGTGATATGTTACAACATCAAAATATCACATCATCAATTAAATATATATAAAAATATTAATTTAACATACATAAAATTATTAATTTAACAATCTGAGTTGATTATTAGTTAACTAATGATTTTCATTCAACATAGGTAGGTTATTTTAATCGAAAATTGAAATGTTTGGGTTAAAATATTCTTAAAAAAATAAAATGATCATTTATTTTTCTAATCGTTAGAGATTAATTTGGTCATTATATATTTTTAATTCGTTTTATTTTGATAAGTGAATCATTATTTTAATAATTTATGGTCATAAGACTTAATTTTTCAGAAGACAAAATGAAAATGATGACTAATTAAATTTTATTTTTTTCCAACAAACAAAATACACTTACTTCCTTAATATTTTGTGACATTTTACACAAAAAACACCCTAATAGAAATAAATTATATGTCAGATGCCGTTTCATAAATTTTTACAAATCTAGCACCCATCCCAAAAAGGCGCGGATGATACGTTGATGTGACGCCACGTGAGGTGAGACGCGAATGATGATTTACGCTTTTCTGCAAAATGTATTAGATAGGTATAACTTTTTAAAAGAGTGTCTGATACATAAATAAAAATTGTAAGGATGATTTTTTTGATAAATACGCCTGAATTTTCTAAGGAATATTCCTCAAAAAAAAATCGGAGGAATACCCTAGAAGGTTGTCCTTTGGAACACTTTGGAAGCTTGTCCTTGACCATTACCCTTTGAAAGGATACATCCAAGTTAAGACAGTGATGGATCTAAAACAGTGATCGATCTAAATTTTATTTTAGAATGTATATACATATATTAATAATATAAAATTTGATATCTAAATAAATATAATAAAATATTAGGTAAACATGATAAAATTGCATGTTGGGTATACGAAGAAAATTTGAATTTCAAAAAACTTTAGGGTGAGCATGTGTTCACCCTAACGTCAATGTACATCCACTGCTTAGTTAATTTTTTTTATAAACTTTGATGTTAAATTAAATATATATTTTAAATTAAAAAAAAATATTTATAAATATATTTAAATTAACATTTTTAAATATTATAAATATGATAGTATTAATTAAACTAATATTTAATTTATACAATTATCATGAATTTTAATTTCATTAGAATAAATACATGTGTGACAAACTGAATATATGATTAGAGAATTAAGATATGATTATTAAGTAACTAATATTTTATATAATTAAATATACTCATATTACGTGCATATTAACTTTTTAAAATTTTAATTACTTTTATAAATTTTTGTTAATTATAAATTTTTTATTATCCCTAGACCCGACTTATATAATACGACCAGATCTAGTGGATTACAATAAAAAAATTTAAAATATTTTTAATCCTCTTTTAAAGTTATACGTAACCAAACACCTTTGAAAACATAATTAAAAATAATAAAATTTCAAACCAAATAATGAAAACATAAAACATTATGCATAAGTGTGAAATATCATGTAAACAATATCGTACAAAGTCATACATCATTAATAAAATAAAATATGTCATAAAAATATAATCAAATATAGACACATGTCACTCATAATAATGACAATATGGAAGATGGAAATATTGCAATAAAATATGTGATATTGAATATGTCGATCCTCCAAGTGCCAAATATGGAGATATCTGTTTAAAATTATCAGAAATGGAGAGAGAATTTGGAGAGTAAATTAGAGAGTTCAGTGTGTTCTAATTGTGCAACGTAAAACATATGAATAATGTAAATATGATTTTAGAGTCCTAGTATAAAAGTAATAATAAGATTTTTATTTAAAACACATAGTTACTCTCCAACCATACACCAAATGTAATTCCCAGAACTGCATCAATAAGGACTTACCCTATGTCCATATGACTTAGGAGTCAACTTAAGGGAACACCTTGAGTCCATAAGAACTTACCGGCCAAAGCATAGGAGCCACTTGAAGGGAGTGCCCTCAGGTCCATAAGGATTTACCCAATGTACAAGACAAATAAACCACCTTAAGGGAGTGCCCTAGGGACTATAAGGTCTTACCACTAGGCCTATTGGGCCTAGAAGCCTACCCAAGGGTCGCCTTAGGTCCATAAAGAATTGTCAGCCTGATCCTGATCGGGGCTAAACCTGCAGAACTCCAAATCATATCCCAAAAGTACCCAGTAAAATAATTTCAGACAATTTCAGTAAAATCAGAAAATCATAAATCATGCATAGCAATTTTCTGTAAGTATCAGAAACCAGAGAACATGTATCAAATGAACAGGAATTTAAAATCACTAAAACAAAAATCATGCATCCAAGAAATTAGTAATCTAGAATCAAACTTTCAAATCAGATAAATTACTCAGTAATAAATAGTCATATTTCAAATCAAGTAAAACAGTCATGTACACATGAAAATTTAAACATATATTTAAATCAGTATGTACCACATAAGGAACACACCTAAAAAAGGAATCAGATTAGGAAGTCTACTGAGCACCAGCCTCGCTACGCTCTACAACAACATTTGAACTAAACCATAACAAATTCAGGTTACTATTAATGTAAATGATTAAATCTAAGTATTTACGGGGATCACAAAACTATAAAAGTAATCACGAGCTCGTGCGATCGAATAGATTGAGAAGAGCTGGGTCGAGTTGACAAGCGATTGGGAGAGTTACGAGTACCTTCAACAATCAATATCATAAATTAGTCGTTGACCTTAAATTAAATGCACTTAAGTAGAATAATTAAATACATATGAATGCTTGGCGTTTAGCATTCGATTCGAAGTCTTTCGAGTTAGATTTTTGCAACACAAACTTCGAATTTGGACTCAAGACATCGAAAAACATAAAATATGACTTTTCAAAAAATTAACTTATTGGTCAAAGTCAAAGTTAATTCTAGTCAGTTCAATAGTCGGGTTAACTATTTGGTCAAAGTCAATGGGTCAGACCAGTTCGAGTTGACTCATGCCAGTTCAGGTTAACTCTATTCGATTTTCCAAAAGATTCATGCAGGTCGAAAAACACCACGAGCAATGGCATCGCGTGGATGTGCATGCGGCGACGATAGGGTCGTGGGGAAATGGTCGATTACACTAGATCTATCATCTCACCATTATCAACCAAATCAAGCCATTAACCAGTTGAAAATCCAATGAACAATGAAACAATTGGTGGTCGGAGTTCTTACCGACGACGATGGATTAAAACTTCGACGATGGAGCAACCCACTAATTGGGTTTTGGTCGCGAGACATCGGGGAACCCAATGTTGGGGGCAGTGAGGTCACCTGATGTTGAAATCGACGTGAAAACATGAAAAATAGTGGCGACAGTTTTGGTTCTCCGATGAAGCTTCAAACGTTGATTTATGATAAATGACAATGTCTCAACGAAGGGATGATCGAGTTTTGGTCGGAACGGGATGACGTGCACATTGGTGGTGGCGGTGCACGATATGGCGATCAGAGATGAGTTTGACGGTGGACGGAGTTAAGGCGATGAAGGTTTTATAATTAGGGATTTTGATTCAAATATGAGAGGGGGAAGTTTTTTGGGGATTTAAAATCGCAATTGGATGGCTTAAATGATAATTTAGGTTATCCTAACATCAAGTGACTAGCCTGATGGTTAAGGCATAGGTGGTCATCCTTTTAGGACATGGCTTCAAGCTACTCCAGCTACATGTTTTACAATTATCTCACCTAACACTTTTTTTTCCTTTGTAGACCCTCGATGATCAAGTCAAGGAACAAGTCCATGAACTTTCAGAGAAATTCAAAAACGATTCTAAAACTTCAAAAACTCACAAATTGATCCTTAAAATTAATTAAATCAAATCAAATTAAAAGAAATTAAATTAGTTGTGTTACAATTTCTAAATAACTTTAATTAAATTTATTGGAAATAATTTAAGTTTGGTAGTTGTAGACAACTCATCCTTTTTAAATTGGGCAGAGAGTCGCAAGTAAGAGAATGATTCTTAACCGATATTTTTCTATTAGGGAATAATGAGAAGAGCTTGACGAAGAGGGTGAAAGACGTGGAGAAGACTTTTTTTTTTTAATATTTTTGGGGTATAAATATATTGGTCGTGGGATGATTAATATCAAACTTAGGGTCATCATAACTGTTAAACAAATTATTAGTTTGTACATGTACTGTTGTTAGTCATCAAATTTAATTGTCAAAATTGTATTCGAGGCTGATGAAAGAGAGCTCTGGATGATCATCTGACTAGAATAATTCATGGAGTAGCCTGACATTTTTGAAGGATTTTTTAAGATTATATTGATAAACTACACAACAAGATTTATCTTTTTTATTTTTATTTTTTTGTATTTTTCCTCATTAAACTTAAAAAATACAATATTTAATCACTTTTATTTAATTTCAATTTTTTAATTAACAACAAGCTAAATTTCAATAACTAAACATTTAAAAGTTGATAAAACAATTGATCGTATCTTATTTAAATAAATTTAAATATGATTACATCTTAATCGAGTAAAAATGAAAATGAAAATAAGTATAATTTATGAAAACAAATGTAGCGTGCTTTAGAAAATACCAGAGAATGTACAATCGAGTGTTTACCATTGTCTCATGTGAGAAATCGGCCAACAATTTATTATTTTAGGGTAAAATACATAAATAGTTCTTCAACTATAAAAGATTATGTTATTGAATTTTGACTATTAAAAATTATAAAATAATCATTTGATTATAGGATGTTGTTTTGTTGAATCCTTATGCTATTAAAAGTTATAAAATAATCACCTTATTATTGATATGTTCTGAACTTTTATTTGTTAAAAAATTAATGACACTCTTAATTGAACATTAATATATTGATTGAGATATAATAGTTATTTGAGATTTTA